TATTACTATGAAAAATACCGTGAGCTTAATCTTTTTAATTTTTAAAGCTCTCTCTCTATCTCTCTCTCTCTCTCTCTCCATACATAACATATTGAATCAAAAATTTATTTCAAAACCCATTTCTAGTGCAAAGTTATGCCAAACACGACAACAAGACTTCAGACATAATACCGGAGGAAAGGTGTTATGGTGGCGGAGGATATGGTGGCGGCGGCTATAGAAATGGTGGTGGAGGTGGTGGTGGATACCCCGTCTACATACCTGTCCCAGTGAATACTGGTGGCGCGGGAAATGCGGGAACTGGCACAGTAACCGGAGTGCAACCTCTGTCAGACGGTAGTTACCTGTTATACTGCGGTAATGTCGTGTGCGGTCGTACAGCTCCGGGAGCTAACGTTGGTTAAACATACGCTAAATAATAAATTATGATTTCATACTCAATGTGTTAATTTTACCATACTCACAAATTATGTACACAAATCACACTTTTTAAATAAAATTTTACTTTTTAAGCATAATCAAATGAAATTGATTATTATTATTATACTGTATGCTGCTAACGGTATTAACGATATTAATTATACAATTTAATTTGATAATGTTATATAGTTATGTTTATTTGTTTAACCAATAACTCGATTAAGGGAAAACCTGTCCAGACAGTACTTGTCCAAGTAATACCTGTCCAGGGAGTACCTGACCAGGGAATACTTGTCCGGGAAAAGTACACCAGCACCAGGGAATGCACCAGGAAAGTTAGTACAGTGTTTATTTTAATTAAAGTATGTAATTTCAGTTTGTTAATTTTATTAAAAATATCATTGTATTATTGCTTACCGGTAGCCATAAATAATACGGTAACAAAAATCAATTTATTCATGTTTTACTAACTAGTAAATACTTTTATGATTTTTTTATTTACAAAATTAATTCAACTAATTATTTCAATAATATTATATTTTGCCAAACAGGCTTTTATATACCTGGATCAATTATATAGTTGCATAGTCTCAATGTCCAGTTTATAGTGTAAAACGGACCTTTCATTTGATATTAATAGCGGTTAAAGGATATGAAAACCTTTTTCAACTACTGTAATTAATTTTCATTGTTTATTTAGTATCGGGAATTAATATTTATTAATAATTTTTATGTGAATGCATAAATATTTACTTAATTAAATAAAATATATTTTAAGAAAATTTATTTATTATTTACAATAGTATAGATTAGTTGTTTACTTTATATATTATTATTAAATCAATTTTACTCACTACTTTAAAAGTTATTTAATATAAAAATATATTGTGTACCATGTTTAAATTGATTAATTAATTATTTTAGCTAACCAGAAAAACACTTTTATAACTATGCACTTGAAATTGATTTTTCATTATTGTACAATTTTTATATAATCAACTGTTTAGCCATTTGTGACATTATTAATTAGCTATATATTTCATAATAATTACAGTGTATTTAATATTGTAGTTCTCTCTCTCTCTCTCTCTCTCTCTCTCTCTCAAAATACAGAATAATATTGGAAATTGGATAAGATGTATTAATGAAAATATGACTGAAAATGAACCTGTTTATGAAAATATTTGTTTTCCTAATTGTGTAAACTCTCTCTCACACACACACACACACATTCACTCACACACACACACACATTCACTCTCTTATAATATTATTAAAATGCATCTATTAAAAATACAAAATAAGCATTGTAAAATAATTTGTATTTTAAATTACAAAAAGAAATTATTAAATTCATTTTATATTTAACAGTTATTAGTAGAAAGTTTTATAATATACAATATAAATTTATAATAAAGGTTTTAATAAATAAATAATAATAATCAACAAACTCTATTGAATAGAGTATTACAGCTTAAAATGAACACAGATTTATTTCAACTTATAATTAATTATCTTAAATTTTTTCAAAATTAATAATTAATTGTTATACATTGACGTCACCAAGGCACTGTTTTTTAGGACCAGGATTTATAAACCAGGATACCAAGGTAGCTTATTTAATAATATTGCATATAAGAGTATAAAAACTATTTGATACATATAACTAGATAATAACTATAATATCTTGGTTATAAAAATACTAAGCAAGTGTGTTATACTAACCCGGATAGATATTTTCCACAATCAGTATATAAATCATAGTAACACTTTAATTGAACTAGCACATAAAGTACTAAACCTTAATTCACAATGAATATATTTTTAACTTTAACTGTACTTGTCTCAACTCTGGGTAAATAATTTTGCTACTTAAGCCACCTAGTTCAAATAAATTGCTAAATTTTATTTTATTTTATAGCCCTTTCCTATGGAAAGCCTGTCAACGATACAGATCCCGAAGCCCGATGTTATGGAGGGGGTTATGGCTATGGAGGTTACCCGGTGTACATCCCGGTGCCCGTGGCGGCTAATGGTGCTCCCGGAACGGGAACGGCTGCTAACCCTAACGTACCGCAAGTAACTGGAGTCCAGCAACTGTCTGATGGTACCTTGCTACTTTACAACGGCAACACCATCATTGGTCGTACCTTACCTGGCCGTACGATTAACACACCTAACGGTCCCCTGAATACCGGTACCGCACAACCAGTTCCCGCCGCCGCTAATAATGTCCCGCAAATCACCGGTCAGTCCCAACCTAACGGCCCAAATGGACCTACCATTTTGTATTCCGGACAGACCCCGGTAGCCCAGTTGCCAGCAGGGTACACCATTGTACCACCCGCTAATAACGGCAAATAAACCCGGGACAAGTTTGTTATTATTATTTGTAACGTTATTATAAAATTAAAGTATTGTTCATAACTAGTAATGTACTTGTTGAGTTATTTATATAGATATTTCATTTTTAAAAATACAGCGAATCAAATAATTGCCAAATTGTGATATAATTAATTAACTTTATACATTTATTTCATAATAATCAGTGTATTTCATATTATAGCTCTCTCTCTCTCTCTCTCTCTCTCTCTCTCTCTCCAATTTAATAACGAGTTTTCTAGGTCAGCATATACGTGGTTATGAACTTTAAGTCACCTAGTATAAACTCATTTGATTAATGTATTACATATAGTACATAACCAGGTATATGTTGATCTAGAAAATCCGTTATTAAATTGATTATTCATATAATCTCGGCTACCATATAGGGGTGCAGGGGATGTTGATATAGAAAATATGGGGCAGTGGTACACTCAGATACCCCCTTAGGATAAGTGGAGCTCAAAATTCAGTTACCCAATTCAAAATACCCAGGTTAGGGTTCATGATCATTAGGGTATTTGTTGTAGTAATAGTATGTTAGGTGTAGAATAAATGTATAACCAAGGTAGCGTATTTGTATTTATTACCGTATACAGTATAACGTTCATGAATGGTTACTACCATACAATTATTAATTAATTATCATTATATTTAATTTAAGTTAAACTAAAAACACTACAAAATATAGAAAACAAAAATATTTTATAAAACATTAATAACTAACAAAACAATTAATTTTAAACACAATTATACAACAAAACTAAATAACAATCACTCATTCAATAGACAGGTGCGCACGAGAGCCTCGGCCACCATATAGGGGTCGCAATTAGCTGCCGGTCGCCTGTCCTCCATATAACCTCTGCCCTCCTGTGCCACCCGTTTAGGTATGCGAATACTGGCCCCGCGATTGCCCACACCTGATGTAAACGTATTCATATCCGACCCGTAAAATTGGGACCCAATTAGGCGCCGGGCGTTATCGGCGCCCTCGTGGGGGTCATAGAGGGCGAGATGTTTCTCATGCCTTTTGCTAAGCTTTTCGATGGCCCTCTCAATCTCAGTCAGCCCTCCCTTTGCACGCATTTTCTCTGTACTGAAGTTCATGTGAGCGCCAGAGCCCGGCATATTGGGTATGGGTTTCGGGTCAAAGGTTACGGCAATGCGTAGGTCTTCGGCCACTCTGTGCAGTAGGTATCGAGACATGAGTACGTCGTCGCCGATGCGGATACCCTCACACGGACCCACCTATCAATGAGGGGAACGGTAGGTATTTAGTGGTACAGTATTGATATATAATTAATTATATTTATGTAATTTGCATACTGATTAGTATTTGTATTAAATTCAAATATGTTATACTTTCACAAAATAATTAGTATTCATGCTGGTTTGAGTTATGATTTTAAAATTTTAAAATTATACAGGTCACATATTGCCCATTCATATTTTTATAAGTTTTCTATTTATGTCTCCAATATAAAGTGAAAATATTGTTTACAGTTTCTAATAAGATTTTAAAATACTTTTTAATACAGTATTAAAAATGAATTCAAACTTATTTGAAATATCAAAAAGCTATTCACTCTACATATAAAACACTAAAAATATTTTATTTAAAAATTATTATATATTTTAAAACCTGGCGCTCAATTATCCCATAAGTAATCTAGATACTATGAAACTGTTGACCAAATAAAATAAATAGTTTACAGTCTATTAATGAATATAAACTATTATAAATTAAAGCTTATTAATTCACTAAAAAATGTACCTGGTACTCCCATTGGCCAGTTATCGCCTCCGCATTTTCACCGCTAATATTAACCCCGGCGTACAGACAGGCCCTGAAGTGGGCCTCCATTACATCGCGACCGCACTGTATGTTCGCACCGACGCCATAGAGGTAGTGGACGTTAGGCGACGATATACTCTCGGGATACCCGCCCTTAGGCCACCCCAGGGGCCAGTTATCGCTGGCATCCAGAAGCAGATACTCCTGTTCCAACGAAAACCACGGGTGCTCTCCCTTAGCCGCCTCCATGGCCTCCCGACACGACTGCCTATGATTACTACCCATGGGTGTCATGTCGGGGGTCAGGGTGTCACACAATACCAGCTTATTATTACCCCCGCGGAAGGGGTCGTTGTATAGCCGTACGGGTCGTAACACCATTTCGGTGACGGTGTCGGTGACTAACCCGCAGTCCCATACGGGTAGGTCTGAGGCCTGTTTAGGCACAAAGTCGATGACCCTGCTCTTGTTGCATAAATGCTCAAGACCATCTTTAGCCGGGTGCGAGAACACGTACGTTACCTGTACTTTGTCGTCCGGTTGAGTGAGTGATAGATACCGGGCCAGGAATGCCGGCGTTGAGGTTAACGGTGCCGATTGGGAACTCATAATTATTTTGTGAATAATAGTAATTAAAGTTTTTTAAGTAATAAAAACTTTTTTGACTTATAGTTGATTAGACTCTGAGTTTATATACATTCAGAAATGTGTTATCAATGAATCAGTTGCGAGTAATTAGTAACAAATAAAAGTGATTTATTATTTTGATTACAATATGACACAAGCGCTATAACTTGTAATTATTTATTGCACTGATGACCAAGATGCTTCAAATTAATCAGTTTTACAATATTATTACATGTATTAATAGTAACGTTTTAAAATGTTTTAAAATTATTATTAACTCATAAAAAATTATTAAATTAATTTGCATACAAATAAAAATATATTGACTAACGTTTTTTGGAGCCAATTTGTAAGTAATCAGGGCCGCCCTGGTAGTTTTATTATGTGCACCGATATCATCACGTTTATCACAAACTCGAGTACCAATATGACAGTTGCACTATAAGTTTTGACAATTGTGCCAGTACAATTACCATTTAATAACAACTTTGACTACTTTTACAGTACTAATGATTACATAAACACTGATAACCTTACGCTTAGTATGCGATAAATACTATTTAATATTATTTTTTAATAACGAAAGAAATAATTTTAAGTACTATTAATATATTATATTTTTAGAGGTTAGACATATTGTTGATTAATAGTAACTATATATAAAATGATATTTGTGGTACTTATTAATAAATAAGCTAATTCAGATAACTTGTATTAAGTAAGTAAAAATAATAGAAATCAGTTTATCAACTGTGTAATTTTAATAAATTTTCAGATGAGCAATTAGACAAAATATTAGTAACTAATACAAAACTAAAATATTTTAAACAAAATTAATTGATTTTTCTCAATCATCATAAATCACGTTTTCAGTTCATAAACAGTTTTATAAGTCATTAAAATTACGGGACAAACGCAAAGGTCATATGCCCAGGTCAGACCAAAGGTCATAGGTCAAAATAATTANTTAATTGCCGAATAATTAGCATGCAACTATAAATTTTGAGGGTCAATTAAATTCTAATAAATTTGGTTACAGTTTATTAAACAAAATCCTACTATAAAATTTCAGTAATAAAAGCAGTAAACTTGGTCATTTGTATTTATAAATTATAATTTATAATATCCATAACTATGACAATATTTAGCGTACTACTAATTAACTAATTATAAATTACAACTAACTTGTAAATTTAATTGGAAACTAAATAGTACATTAATTACAACAAAACTAACCTGGTACTCCCACTGAGAAGGCATAGCCTCAGCATTTTCACCGCTAATATTAACCCCGGCGTACAGACAGGCTCTGAAGTGGGCGTCCATCACATCCCTACCGAACTGTTTGTTCGCACCGACAGCCGAGTGATACAACACATGTGGCAGATGTATGTCCTCGGGGTAACCACCTTTAGGCCAACCCAGGGGCCAGTTATCATTGACATCCATAAGCATGTACTCCTGTTCCAACCCAAACCACGGGTGCTCATCCTTGGCCGCCTCCATGGCCTCCAGACACGGCTGCCTATGATTACTGGGAAGGGGTGTCATGTCGTCCGATAGGGTGTCACACAATACCAGCTTATTATTACCCCTACGGAAGGGGTCGTTGTATAGCCGTACGGGTCGTAACAGGATCTCCACCTCCGATGAGGTCGGGACCCCACTGTCCCATATGGGCAGCTCTGACGCCTTTTTAGGTACAAAGTCTACGACTTTGGTTTTGCCACAAAAATGCTCCTGGTCATCGTTACCCGGGTGTAAGTAGACGTACGTCACCTGTACTTTGTCGTCCGGTTGCTCGAGTGACATATACCGGGCCAGGAATGCCGGGTTTGATTTTAGAGACGGTGTTGATTGGGAACTCATAATTAGTTTTTGAAAATTAATATTTAATTAATTTTTATTTATTTATAGAGAAAAATGTTTATTAAATATTTGATTAGAGAAATGTGTTTATAGTATGAAATTGAATGACAACTTTAGACTTCCTATTGAATCAAACACTCATTTATATAGTGTTTCGCAAATACAGTAACAGTAATACGAGTATTGATTATTTGATTGGAGATAATAAGGATGTAGTTTAAACTGATGACACAATAATGGCCTGGGATGCCAAGAAGGGTGGTCGCTGAGCACGGGGATAGTAGTTATACTAATGTTACTCAAATAAATCTAGATGTTCAGGGTCGGGTAGTTTTTTAATCAGTAAAGTATATGTACATCACGATTTTTAGACAAAAGTTAGAGTTACAGGAAATTTTATAGTGAAAAATTTTGAAAAAATAGTTTGTAAAACGTCTTTTGAAAAAATAATGTTTATTTGATAGTTAGTTAAAATAAATGAATGAATCGACTGTTGATTGTCAGGACTTTATGTTACATTTTGGTCGGACACATATTTGCGGACTATATTTATATGAAAATTTAGTTTTTATTTGCCTAGCAATTTGTTTATCAAGATTATTTTATTTATTTTCTTAACAAATAGTAGTTTAAGTGGTGTTTGATTTATTAGATGCCATACCCTGACCCTCACAATCATGTCATTAAAATAGCACATACCATAGCCAAACAAATGTTAGTTTTTCTCTCTGATTGCTTTTGAAATTCATTTTGCTTATTTTCTAACATTACCTTTTTAACAATTTCATCAAGGGGGATTATATTATAAATATTGTCTGTGTTAATTTTAATATTTGTTTTAAATTTCCCAATATATTCCCCAGAATTTACACGTGACATTTCAATTGCAAGGTATCTTTGATAGTGATAAATACTTAAAATAAACTGGTCAGGTTCACATTCTTTCCGATTTATATCCTTGATCACCTTATTCATTGATTCACTGGAGTTACGTTTACTAGACATGAATGGTTATAAATGTCACTTTTTAATTTATTATCATAATATTTAATAATATCAGCGTGCTTAATAAATGATTCACGAAATTGATTTTCAACAGAATTGTATTGTTTTTCATCTGTGCAACCTAATAAAGTTTTAATATAATTTATGAATAACCTTTTGGTGGTGATGTCAATTTTAGTGTTGCCTCTAAAATGATCTTTGCAATTACTCTTAATGTGATTCCAACAATATACGACGGGCAATTTAAGTTTGTTAATAGCTGCTTTTATACCACCCTCTCGGTCACACGTAATTGGTATGTTAGGATATTTTTCTAAATTTAATAATTGACAAGCTCTTTGAAAAAACGCAAAATGAACTTTGTAATTTTTACTCATGTGAATTAAAAATAATACTGGAAAAATTTTATCTCCTTTAACCAAAATGTTTTTCACAGTTAATATTGACAAAAAAAAATTCACCAACGTTAAATGTGGTATCGTAGGAAATTTGAGCGCCCAGATTTAAGTGTTTATTAGCATATTTTAATATATCCTTGGTATAATCAATAAGTTCCTTTAAACCAAATAATATAAAAACGCACATCATAAATAAAATTAGGTAGCTCATCAGATAATTCAACACAATTATTTATGTGGTGTCGAGTAAATTTATTTTTAGAGTTTTCCCGGTACTTTTTATTTGCAACTTAATATTCTGAGGCAAATAATCTTGGTCAAAATTAACATCTCCATTAGATTGATCTTGAATAGTTTCGGTCATTTTTATGACATTCTCATAAATTTTCTTAGGGGGCTTATCATAATTATTTGATGAATGTGATTTTATGTGGCTACGTTTTTTAAACACGTTTGAGAATGAAGTTTTGAGTTGTCCTTGTTTTTTACCAAAATCATTACTTGATAATTTATCATGTTTAACTTGAATTTGTTTTGCATATTTTCCCCAAACTGTATTTTATACAAATTTCGAATAATATTAGGTTGTTTTTTATCAACTCATGATTTACCACGGCTCCTCCAATTGTAACCATCAATTAGTATAAGTGAATTGGAATCTAATTGACCAGGGTAATATAAAAAGACCTCCCCGCCTTTTGGTAATTTAGATGGCATAGTCATGATATAATTTGAATACGTCTTTCGGCATTCTTAATATAATTATGAGCAGTGTTCTTTTTCAACAATACATCAGATCTGGTTAAAACTTTATTATTGGATGTTGCCTCCTATTTTAAAAATTATAAATCAGGAATATTTTAAATAAAATATTATTTCATGTGCAAAAAAATATTCTTTTATGATACTTTACGTGAAAGAACCTTTTCATAATCTTTATATAGATATAGCATATTCATTTTTTAAGAACATTTTACTTTTTAATTAGGTATATGTTTATGAAAATAACAACATAAATCAATCCTAAGTATTTGACAATATCAAACATGCTTGTTATCACTTAATTTTGTATCATGTTGCTTTTTATTAATTAACAAATGTTTTAAATAATTATATTTTCTATTATAGTAAAAAATTATATATATTTATATATTTACTTTTTTGCTTTCACTGTGGATGTATAAGTTTATGACAATTGTGCCAGTACAATTACCATTTAATAACAACATTAAGTACTTTTACAATACTAATGATTACATAAACACTGATAACCTTACGCTTAGTATGCGATAAATACTATTTAATATTATTTAAATTTATTTATAACATAAAATTCAGATTAATGATTACTACCGGAAGCTATTATACAATAATTTAATGAATGTAAAATTATTTATTTAAAATTAAAAAATATTGCGAAATACAAAAATATATAAAAATATATAAAAAAAATACTGAAAAACATTATAATTAATAATAACTATCAAAACAAACAATTTTAAACACAATTATAAAACAAAACTAAATAACAATCACTCATTCAATAGACAGGTGCGGACCAGAGCCTCGGCCACCATATATGGGTCGCAATTAGCTGCCGGTCGCCTGTCCTCCATATAACCTCTGCCCTCCTGTGCCACCCGTTTAGGTATGCGAATACTGGCCCCACGTTTGGCCACACCTGACGAGAACTGATTCATATCCGACGCGTAAAACTGAGACCCCGTTGCCGTTAGTCGCCTAACATTGTCGGCGCCCCCGCGGGGGTCATAGAGGGACAGGTGTTTCTCGTGCCTTTTGCTCAGCTTTTCGATGGCCCTCTCGATCTCCGTCAGCCCTCCCTTTGCACGCATTTTCTCTGTACTGAAGTTCATGTGAGCGCCGGCGCCCAACCAGTTGGGTACGGGTTTCGGGTCAAAGGTTACGCCAATGTGCAGGTCTTCGGCCACTCTGTGCAGTAGGTATCGAGACATCATTACGTCGTCGCCGATACTAATGCCCTCACAGGGACCCACCTATCGATGAAGGGAAAGGTAGGTATAATTATTAGTTTTAAAAATATAATATACAGTATAATGTATTTGAAAAGGAAATTTAATTTATTATTTTAAAAATGTCTCTTATAGCTCGACTTCTAAAAGTGATTTTAATATAATATTATTTATGAGATAAATAAACTGCAAATGATTAGTTTAGAGCTTGGTTAGTTTAGAAGCTAGTTTAGTTATCATTGTGATTTTCTTATACTGTAACACTAATTAATAAATAATAGTTTTTTAGCTTTAATAAATTTTAATTTTGTATTTAATGACCCTTTATTTAATAAAAGTTTAAGTAAAAAATAGTTAATCTAATTGCTGAATTTAATTACCGAATAATTAGCATGCAACTATAAATTTTGAGGGTCAATTAAATTCTAATAAATTTGGTTACAGTTTATTAAACAAAAGCCTACTATAAAATTTCAGTAATAAAAGCAGTAAACTTGGTCATTTTTATTTATAAATTATAATTTATAATACCCATAACTAATACAATATTTTGAGTACTACTAATTAACTAATTATAAATTACAACTAACTTGTAAATTTAATTGGAAACTAAATAGTACGTTAATTACACAAAAACTAACCTGGTACTCCCACTGAGAAGGCATAGCCTCAGCATTTTCACCGCTAATATTAACCCCGGCGTACAGACAGGCCCTGAAGTGGGCGTCCATCACATCCCTACCGAACTGTTTATTCGCACCGACAGCCGAGTGATACAACACATGTGGCAGATGTAAATCCTCGGGATAACCACCTTTAGGCCAACCCAGAGGCCAGTTAT